AAATCGAAAAAATCCCCAAAAAAAACTATGTTATGCAGAAAAATAAACTGAACAACTTTTGCCTCAGGGTCACATCGAAATTCTTTACCAAATTTAAAATAAAAAATAAAATTTAAAAATAATTTATTATTTTTATTCTTTATGACCCGGCCGGGCAAGTGACCCCGGGCCACTCTGGTAGCCTAGTTTCTCTCCATTTTTGCCGCTCTTTTTCGCTGAATGTGTCTAGTTCTCGTTTTACCATTCCCTCACTGTCCCCATTCGACCACCCTCTTCTCCTTCCCACCTTCATCTCACTGTATTGGTAAATTGCATGTATACTAAACAAGTGTGACATCGTCACCATATAATCTCTAACTTTTTTCCTTAATGTTTAGTTATCGTATTTCACCTATTTTTGCAATCGTTCAGATATTTTTGTCATAGTTATCTTCATCACCATTGCCAGGGTCAAGTTAAACTGCAGGGAAAAGTTTAACCAACCATTCCTTGCCCAATGTTGATGATAAGTTGATAACTATATAGGATTAACCAATCATGTATTTAGGACCGCGTTCAGTTTGGGCCTATTTGAGGCTATTTCTGTTTTTGTTTCAGTCTTTTTAATTTATCCCCTAGGTGAATCTGGTTGGTTTTTTGTGCCTAGTTTGGGAGTTGCAGCTATTTTTTGATGTATTCTTTTCTTTCAAGGTTCCCATAATTGGACCTTAAATCCTCTTTCCATGTCCCTTGGGATGCTAACCGCCAAACCTCAAATTGCCGGCCCAGTGGCCTCTTCATCAGTCCCTAAGTGTGGTCAGTACTCATAACGTTCGGGTAGCGAAGCTTACACTTGTTTCAATAGTTTGTGGGGTCTTTTTCTTCCAATGGATGTACGACCTTCTCTTCCTCCATGAGGATGGTCTACTGGATTCCTTGCGGTACCTCTTAGTTTAGGCCGTTTACCTTGCCAACGTTTTGATCCTGCCTTTCCTATGCTTTGATTGTTAAGTTCTGGATTTCCTACTTGTACTAAGATTACCATCTGGAGAAGTACGTCTAATATATAAAAAAATGTTTAGCTACCATCGGATAAGTTGGAAATCCAGAATTCAACAATACAAGTAGGAAATCCAGAACTCAACAATCAAAGCATAGGAAAGGCAGGATCAAAACGCTGGCAAGGTAAACGCGCTACTAAACGGCCCGAAGTAAGATGTACAGCAATGAATCCAGTAGACTACCCTCATGGAGGAGGAGAAGGCCGTACATCCATTGGAAGAAAAAGACCCCACGAACTATTGAACAAGTGTAAGCTTCGCTACCCGAACGTTATGAGACCATCTGGAGAAGTACGTCTAATATATCAAAAATGTTTGGCTACCATCAGATAAGTAGGAAATCCGGAATTCAACAATCAAAGCATAGAAAAGGCAAGGTCAAAGCGTTGGCGAGGTAAACGACCTAAAGTAAGAGGTACAGCAATGAATCCAGTAGACCTCCACCGGTTTCACCAAATGCCCTCATCCCGGAATGGGATTCCGACTGTCAGTCTGGACGAGATCGCAGATTGCGCTTCAGGTGCTGTTGCCACTTCGTGGCCATTGAAGAAGAGCCTCAGAGACTACAAGCGAAGCGACTTTTGCCACGGTGACCTCTCAGTGCTGCGCAAATGGCATGGCAAGCCCCGTAGCGTTGCCGCATAGCCCTAGCGGATTTATCCACCACATCGTCCTACGAGGTAGGCACCCCCGAATTCGTGCTGATTGGGCGGACCGTGATACGCAATCGGTCATGACCCACATCGGGAATGCAACGCCCGACCACGAAATTGCATTGGCTATTCTATAGCGGAAAGCTTTTATGTTGGCTTCATTATCCTCACCAGGTTCAGCATCGTCTCCCCTACCGAAAAGGCTCAACGCAGGCACGAAGCGCAGCAAGACATGCTGGACACGAAAGCAAGACGCAAAGAAGTGGGCGTCCCGTCTCCTTCCTGTATTTATAATGGAGTAAATCAACCAAGGGTAGCGTTGCCGAAATGTGCATGGAAAAGTATTGCAAAAAGAGAAGATTGTTTGCCCTGTCGGATCATAAAAACTAAAAAGAAACACACGTAATATATTTGTGAGAACAGCAATCTTACGTGTTATAGAAAAGAAAGCTGTAACAAAAGTAGGAGAACCCTCGTATCATGGTTACCGTCCGGACGTCCGGAACCCATTCCGGACCGTCCGTGTCTGGATGTCCGGTCCGGTAGGTCCAGAATTAAAAAAAAAAAAAAAAAAAAAAAAAAAAAAATTGTGGGGGGGGTGGTTCGTTCATGGCCCACATCCAAAAAAAATGTTTGGGGATTTTTTGACTATTTTCCAGCCCTTTCAGAAAGCCGAAGAGGACCGGGCTGAAACTGATTCTGATTGTGTGTGTGTGTGTGTGTGTCTGTGAGAGAGAGAGAGAGAGAGAGAGAGAGGCAGACACAGACAGACAGACACGCAGACAGACAAACAGACAGAAACAGACAGATAGAAACAGAGAGCGACAGACACACACACACACACACACACACACACACAGAGAGAGAGAGAGAGAGAGAGAGAGAGAGAGAGAGA